TCCTCACTCTACACAGGTGCTCTCCTCACTCTACACAGGTACACTCCTCACTATACACAGGTGCACACCTCACTATAAACAGGTGCACTCCTCACTCTACACAGGTGCACTCCTCACTATAAACAGGTGCACTCCTCACTCTACACAGGTGCCCTCCTCACTATACACAGGTGCCCTCCTCACTATACACAGGTGCCCTCCTCACTATACACAGGTGTCCTCATCACTCTACACAGGTGCACTCCTCACTATACACAGGTGCACTCCTCACTATACACAGGTGCACTCCTCACTCTACACAGGTGTCCTTCTCACTCTGCACAGGTGCACTCCTCACTCTACACAGGTGCTCTCCTCACTCTACACAGGTGTCCTTCTCACTCTGCACAGGTGCACTCCTCACTCTACACAGGTGCACTCCTCACTATACACATGTGCAATCCTCACTATACACAGGTGCACTCCTCACTATACACAGGTGCCCTCCTCATTATACACAGGGGCCCTCCTCACTATACACAGGTACACTCCTCACTATACACAGGTGCCCTCCTCACTATACACAGGTACACTCCTCATCCTTCCAAATACCAAGTTCTTCAATCAGAACCCTCTCCTCTCCTATTTGCAGGTCTTACTCCCCACAGGAAGTGACCTAATGAGTTCATACTCTCCTCAGCATGCTGGAGCACAGACTCCCTACAAGTGACCATTCCATAGCATAGCTGCCCTCCTCACCTCTCAGGCTCTGATGTCTCACACCAGACTGCTGCTTGGAGACTCTCTCCTGAATCCAGACACTTTCTCTCCACCATGCTCACATTCCCCTCACTGCTTGGGCTCCAGTTCTGCTGTCAGTCCAGCACTCAGCATGGTCACCCAGACCCTGGGCCAGACCAATGCTGCCCCACACCTGACCCTTCCACAGACACCTGCCTTGCCCTCCCTACACCATTCTTTATTCAGTAAGTTACTAAGTAACTGAGGTGCTGCAAAGAAAGAAACCAGATAAGAAAGAACATAAAGTCCTGTGTAATTATTAAACTTATTGACCATTTCCATGTTGATATATATACCTACACACCACTTCACTCCAGTCACAGATGCTCAGGGATTTTACCCTCTAGGCAAAAATATATTTCTACATTATCATATCTCACATATACTAGAATAAGTCACAGACAATATCAATATTCAGGTGTGTAGAGAGCTGAGTGCAGCCGCACCTCAAAATGGCGCCTACATCCTGTCCCCACCT